AGCACAAGCCGGCTGAACTGCCACTGCACCGTCCTGCTGTAAGCACAGAGAAAACAATTTCTCCAAATGATTACTATTTAATCTTTTCTACAATGAACAAATACAATCTACAGTGTAGTTGCATCACACCCCCCAAAAATTCTTCTTTGAGCCCCCAAATAAGATGTTTTTTTTTTTAGTGCAAGGCAACAAATTTGAGCAGTGAACCTTGTCTTTCTTAGCTAGAAAGATGTATTTCCCAAAGACTGCAGACATTCAAAACCCGCCTGGACGCCGTCCTGTGCAACCTGCTGTAGGTGCCCCTGCTCTGGCGGGGGGGTTGGTCTAGATGATCTCCAGAGGTCCCTTCCAACCCTAACCATTCTGTGATTCTGTGATCTGCTCTCATGGATGTGCCTCTGCTGTTCCGGGAGGATTGTGAGTTGTATGAGCCAACTGGCTGGTTGATTTTATTTTCTCTGAGGAACATTAATAGATTGTAGACTAACATAAACATCAATAATCATATACATAATGGTATAAGGACACCAAGATGGAAGAAAAGGCTGAGAAATGGCACTATATTTCCTTAAGATTTCTATTAAAGGATTTAATGATAAAAATGAGAAAACTTCTCACAAATCCTAAGTTAGTTTCAAAAAGACATGAAAATTCAAACCCCATATCCTTTCGAAAAAGACTTTTAATATAGGTCTTGCTATTAATTGAGCTGGTGTTCAACAAAGGTGTTTTAATGTTAAAAAAAAAATCTATTCACGTTATCTGAATCAGTGGCCCATATGGAATTTAAATTAGTTAATTTCACACATTTTACTAAAGAAAAATTGACTCTGCATCTGCGAATCTTTCAGGAATATGTAGCTTATTCATAATCATATAGAGATCTGTGCTGGTGTATCTCAACCATGATGAGAGCAATGAAGGATGTCATTCATCTAATAATGAAAAAGCTCTTCATCTTTGATTAGCTGAGAAGGTCAAAAGGTCAAAAATTGTTCTTCCAGAAGGATGAACAATTAGCTCCAGAAAAGTTTTGTACACCTGATCAGGGATAACAGTATATGTTAAAGATAAAGCAAATCCCACCGGATCATGCTGACTAAAGCTTTCACCCAATTTTAGTGTCTTGCTGGTGAATAGAGGGACTGATTTGTTATTTGATCCTTTGCAAATGGCCCTATACTTCTGAAGAATTCTTTGGCAGATATGAGGTCATGTATAAAGTCACGGTTACAGTTATTCTTCTGCAGTAGGTCCTGATTGCAATTATTCGTATGTATTTATAGAAATCCATAAAGGATATGAGGGGACTCTGTGAAGTATAATGTTCACGGTACACTGACAGAAGTGCCATTAGGTGATGCTGTACTGATTCAATGTTAAAAGACTTCAGTGATAGACTTCAACTCTTACAAAGACATTGGGCCTTAAAACATAACCCAGAGAGTTCAGC